CGTTTAAACAATTGAAAACATTTCACTGTTTCTTGAATATTTTATGTGCTATGAGAGAATATTGATAAATGCACTTTTGAGTTTTTCAGTTTATGCTGCAGTTTGTTATCGGCACTGAATAGCCTCTTTTTATTCCACAATTCAATTGATTAAAATCAAAACGAGCATTTCCGTTCTCATCGTTATTTTAATTCTTTTACACAGCAAAGTGAATTTCAGCAATTCACGCTCCCATTCATACACAAAGCAAGTGCGAATGCTGAAGGTGGATGAGGAGTTGACGTGTTTTAAGGGAAAGAAAAATTAATTGCGGTTCAGCGCTGAACACACCGTCTATTTACACACCTTGCGACCGAGTTTGATTTGTATTTTTAATAGTTACCCTCAACATGCACATCCACTCAAGAGCATTAGACGGTTTGGCAATTCACTGATTTATCCAGCCTTAATGCGATCAGTTAGCTGCTTAGAGCACAAAACCCTTCGGATGGTAGAGAGTTCTATGTAGCATATACTATAATCTCGGAAAGGTAACACTGGAAATTTAGCCGATGTTTTTAGTACCAGCTCCAAAGGATATACTGTGGGGTGGTCGTTCTTGGATAATGTCCATTGACTGTTGGACTGGTGGCTTGACGAAAACAGTTCGCGTTCAGAGTTGTCGAGAGGACCACAGTCCTTGTATTTGAAGCATTTTCATGTTTGTTTTAGACAAAAAACATTTGCCAATTTGCCCGTCATTAGTTGTGATCGCTTGATCAATTTAGTGATAATTAACAAACATTTATAGTCTACCATGTGATCTGCATAGTATGAGCAGAAATAAAATCAATGCGAATATAGAGGCACCACTATTCTTTTTGATTCAGCTGCTTTACTCTTGTGCTATATTACGGTCAAATTTCAAACATTCACAACAGGCTCTCAGTCATCATTCCTGATTGGCTTGATCGAACGGCATTGTTTGCAGGAACATCTCGTTAAAGTCAATTTCATTCATCAAAGTGGTTTGCTTTTTGTTTTGTATGGGGTGGATGGGCGGTATTAATAAATTGATTCTCCGAGAGACATAAATTAGGACAATTAAGGAAGCAAATTGTACCAATAAACAAAAACTGCGGTAGTGAAGGCAATCAAATTTTCACCAGGGATTATCACCTGTAGCACATAATCGATCAACTGCATTCAAGCCTCATAAAAGAGGGGTGTACTTAATCGGTACATGGAACTGAATTTTCCCCTTGTTTTGTTCATTCTGGTAATGCTTCCCATGATTCAATTTAAACGCTGAAAAGCGTTCATTCTGCGTTGTAATACGCAGTTCGAGCGTCGACTTGAAGGTTCAACAGTTGTGAGTTTCATTCATCTCCCTTGTTGTTAACCGGGAGCTCACGAACTTCATGCATCAATAAGCCTGATCTCGTGGAATCAGCTTTCTTCTCAGGAATAGAGCGCTCCTGATAATTTGGGGATAATTCTCCAGCAGCATAATCAACAAATTGTTAACAAATTGAATTTCTACATGACATGATAGGTTTCACTCGATTACGCACAAAACCAGTGGAATTTGGACTGTATTGTGCAAACTAATACGGTTCATAACGCAACCTGCTAACGCACACAAGTTCGTGTGGGCGCTTCACCAAGTTGCTAGTAGAAACAAAAACAGTTTCACACGAACGCTTGTGATTGTTTCCTGCACGACACGATGTACTGAACCGTGCAATGGAATAAGTCACCTAGAGCAGGACCAAGCAACATGTTCATTGGTTGCGGAGCGAATAATTGGTTCCGTCATTCGCGACCAATTGATTGAAAATCGTGATAACTGATAGACTATCATACCTGCCTGTGATAATTGATAAATGAGATTTTTCATAATATTATTTGTAAACGTTTGCAGATAAGTAACTATCCATATGAAAAGTACGAAACTAGAGGATAATTAATAAAACACTTTGCAGTGTATTTTTATATGCGATTTGAATAGTTTTGGAAACTCACTTGACCCGGTAATGCACCGTGTGCTATTTTTAATTCTGTACGAATCTCGAGAAACCTAGTTTACATCGAATATCTTTACGGGTAGTAAAATGCGTGACTCAATATCCGCCTTCCCAATTTAAATGCACACCGTCAACTTGGTGAAATAGAGGCATATATGAAATATATGTTTGTATAGACCCATAAAGGAATACTAACTGAATATTTATGGATGGTCATAGTTCCGAAAAATTAGGCATGTGTATAAATATCTCGTAATGTATAAAGAGCAACACGACCACTTAAAACACTGGGACATTGCCATTGGTATCAAAGGGCATTTTTGAAAGCTGGTTGACCCGATTTTTTATTCTAGTGAATTCATTCATTAAAATCCACTGATACTTACAAAATAGTTTAAGAGTAACATAACGTTTTCAAGTGACCACCCGGCCTGACTTTTTATATGTTTGTTTTCTGTATGTGTGCAAAATTAGGTGTGATTTTATTGAACCCGCCATAAAAAATGTGAGTAGAAAATTTCCGTGCATAAACTGCTCGTCCAGTCAAGGTAGAAATTACTTTTGTTTAACCTAAACGTTTTCAAATAAAATGTGCCTTACTATTTGAAGTTGATGTAAAAATTATTTTTTTAATCCTCGGGAACGTTCTGTTTTAAGCAGAAGATCGGGAGATATCATTTTTAGATAATTGATGTTCACTGGTTTGTTACGTAACAGTCACACTGAATCAATTCAGAAGAATTAAACTCTATAGTGCTATCGACGAGATGATGGAGATTAACTTTAGTGTAAACCAGGGCCATTTTCTTGAAAATTTAAATATGTATTTTGATAAATTGCAATCTCCAATTGTGTTGGTAAAGAAATGATTCATTAGACATTCTTTACTGTGATCTTGGTTTGAAACCCGATGAGTCAGAAGTATATTTTGAATCAATATATAACGATTCGTTAATAACAATATCTACTAACGGGCTGACATGGTTTAACGAGTGATCGCCAGCATTACTATTAATCAGCCAATGATTCCACATTTACCGTTTCCTTTACTGGCACTGTCGGTTGATCCCAGTATTCTGATCAACTTGTCCGGGAGCAGCCACTATATTCAGGTGGGATGAATTCTTACTGTTATGTGTTTTCATGATAAAGCCCTTGATAAACATTGTGTTTTCAGCAGTGCGCACCTTGCTGGGGTGCAGCGAAATCATCCTGGACCTAAATCCTGCAGTATTACGATATGGTCTTTTCTTGGTAAATTGATCTCGGGAAACGCTTGTCACGAGCGCTGGTTTTTCCGTGTCTAAGGAAAACTACGTTACCCCAGACAATTGCTTGAGATAGATAGATAGATAGATAGATCGATAGAACAGACGGGGGAACGCAACACCGTAGAAAGCTGGCCAGTTAAGTGGGTCCAAAAGAGTTACGTAACTAGCTAATAAGAAAGATGAGGTAACAGTTGCTATTGTTATTGTAATACCTTTTGTAGGCATATAGCCTATATTTCAGTTAAAGAATATATAACTTGCAGAGAGGGAGAAAACAATTTACATTTCAAAACTGTTAACAAAGGATGTGAAAACATGTTCTTTGTGAACTAAATATGTGCCAAAGAGTGCACTTAATTCATCCAATGTAGACAGAACTTTCAGTGAAAAGAATATCACTTTCGATTTGGCATACTTGCTATGAAAAAGAGTTTGAAGATATGATAAATAGTTACTTAGATGTGTTACGTTCCCGGATCGCCCGGAGAAGAACAAAGACCGTCTGATCGTCAGATCCATGTATGTTCGAATGAATGTGTCAAGCACTAAACCACATGACAAGAGTGACAATCATAACATCATAATTGGTCAAGGTCAATAACACTGTCTGTTCGCCTGCTGACCATTGGCACCCCTAACACCTCCCCCCGTAAATCCTCTATCCTCATATGAATTCATTGGTGGGTTTACCTGGAGTGGCTGTGTGAAACGTCTATTACGATGAAAATATCTAGATACTGGCATGTGACCATTTCGTTGCGTGATCAAATCCAAAATTTGCGGTTGTATGTTGTGGTCGTGCGGTGTGTTGGAGCATCGTCTAACCACTGGCAGGTATGGTCATCAGGAATGATATCTTCGCGCTCATCTGGATTGTACTTTCTTCGTAACCGATTCGCGTGTCTAATACACTGTTCTGTTCCTACTTGCAGTTCATACACAACTTGTCCATCTTTTCCTGTTACAGTTTCTGGAGTTCATGTCTGACCGACGCGTACATACATACACACAATGCATACAATTTGTCGCCAACATTCAATCCACCTTTTACGTGTGGCTTTTGAACTTTCATTGGTGCCGTACAATTGCGGGTAGTTTAGGGAGCATCAATTCGTATTTCGTCCTCATTTTCCTTCCCAACAAGCATCACTGGATGATACAACGTTTGGCACGTTTTGATTTGGAGTGATGAGGTGAGATACATCCACATTTTGTCTTGTGGGCCGATTTTTCGGTCCTTCAGATGATAAAAACGTAATTGATATCTTTGGTGCTTGAATAACAAAATTCGTTCACAGGAATATCCCAAAATCCCAATTTGTTAATCCACTGAATGCCAACTTAAGTACGTGAACAGTCATTGACAACATAAGCAGTGGAGATAAATGTCATGTCACAAAAATTGCATACACATTTGAATATTCCATCAATTACCCTTTGTTTGCCCGAAGCGATATAGACTGAGTTATTTGTTGGTTGGAGAGCCGGAAATCCTAGGGCTTCCCATGAATGCCGTGTCAAAATAATTATGTCTGACACAGAGTCAAACTGGAAAATAAGCGAGACACTATTAACATCAATAGACAAATTTCCGTCTAGAGGAAAACTCTGTAGTGGCAGAGAGGACGATACCAGAATTATACAATAACTCTGAGTGACCCACTGAAGGTTTGCGATGTAATCCATTTTGTTTGAGTGATGGTAACGGTAACAGTTTTTGTGTTTACGTCCCATTTTTACCACACATCACATATTCGTTGGCATATGGACAGTATTTCACAAAATGCCAGTCCCCACATTTCCAGCATGCTGTGGGTGGTCTAGATTTGGAGTTGATTGGTGCATTACAAGCTTTTCGTTTGTTCGGTGAAACTTGTAAGCGATTCACGTTATTGTATTCCGAACACTTCGCTATCAATGCGGAGTCCATTTTTATGATTTTGATCCGTTGGCATTCTTCTGTTATGTTGTGCAGAGTAAGATCCGGGGACTTTTCATTTTGCAACAGTATACGATTGCGTAATTCTGCATCGGCGGATGACTGTAATCCACTGACAAATAACAAACATTTGAACTGGTCCATTGAGATTTCCTTTAGTTTGAACCGCTCAGCCTCTAGGTTGATTCTCCCTGCATATGTCACAAAATCTTCTGACTGTGTCATCTTGACTTGCAGGCATTGATATCGTGTATGAAGTAATGAAGCACGAGCACTGAATATTTGGGTAAGGCATTTCACTGTTTCTGAAGGCTGTATGTCCGTTGGTTTACTAGGTAAGATATAGTTGGTATATTGTTGATGTTCAAGTTTGCGTATGAGTAGTCTTTGTCAGTGTCTTCCCACAGGGCACAATCCGCAGTGAATATATCCCCAAATCTTGAGTACTATGATTCAAACGTCATATGTGAATTCTGTAATCGCATTGGCGAGGTTGTTACTGGTCAGACCTGCATTTCTTGATTGAAGCGATGTAGATTGTTCCATCTTTTTGGCCAACGCTTTGATAAGCATGTTTTGTGTATGGAGCATTTGCATGAACATTTCCATTTGGTCTGACATGATTTTATTTTAACTTGAACGCGTGAGTTTGTTCCCGTCGCCAATTGTTACTTTCCCGAATCCCCCAAATCGAGATGAAGAACAAAGACCGTCTGACAGTCAGGCCCATGTATGTTCGAATGAATGTGTCAAGCACTAAACCACATGAAAAGAGTGACAATCATAACATCATAATTGGTCAAGGTCAATAACACTGTCTGTTCACCTGCTGACCATTGGCATCCCTAACAAGATGATAATAAATAGAACACCGAGAACGCGTAAAAAATGAAGAAAATTTCAACGTGAAAATGTACATTAGACTGTGTATAAGTTTGTTCGATATTTGTCGTTTAGATACCAACAAACGTAAAACGTATTTACAACGGAGTTGTGAAAATCAGTGGTACGAAGTTTTAAAGTTTTAAATTCATTGTGGGTGACAGAAGTTGAAATGGAGCTAGATAGGGCTGTGTGTAAAGGAGTTGATACATCGAACAAAACAATCACACAGACGGTCACTCGCCTTCAGGTGTTGGTTGACAATGGAAACAACCAGCTCCTCATAAGATACAGCTCCATATCTAGAGATGCTTCTTATATGAAATCCTTAGACGGTAGACCGGGAAAATAACAGGAGAGCGGTAGGTCCAATGGCATAAAAAACATGAGAAAATAAATTTAGAAATGATGTGCAATGTCACTGGCGGATGCCAAAGGCGTGAAGCATAAAAGTCAACTTTTGGACTTTAAGAAATGTTTGTTCTACATATTGTATTGTAATATTAGGAACACAGCGGTACTGGGATTTATTTGACAGATGGGAACAATATGAAGTAAAATCTATGTATAGCAAATGTGCGGAGTCGATAAGAATCTTGCGTTCAAACTTTTATCATACCTATAAACGACGTTCGCACACTTTAGTTAACAACTCCTCCAGCGGGTTTGGAGGGACGGTGCTAATGATGGTCAGCCCACGCCAAAACAGTTTAATGTTTTTCTTTAGGAGATTAGAAAAAACAACAGGTACACTAATTTGTAAAAAAACCATTGTAGAATACGAAACTAGGGAAGATTATGGATATGAAAAGAGTCATCGAAGCTTACTGACCATATGCTGTATGTGAGAGGTCCAATGAAGGTTAGCATGGATAAAAGCACCAGCTATTGAATACAGCTTTCCCAGGATACTTGTTCAGAGATAATCGATAGCGGTTCAGATGGTAAAAAAGAACCTGATGAGGAAAAGCGTCATTGGAAACGTTTGAGAGGATTAATAGAGAGGCCGGATGTGCCAGGAAATTGGTGAACGTTTGCCAGGTTGTCAGAAAATTGTGAAAGATCAGAAGATTCAGATATGGTTGGATATAAAACCACAGCGTCAGCGTAAATGAAGATAGATGTAGAGGAGCTAGCGGATAAGTCATTGATATACGTAGGAGAGAAGTTTAGGGAAAGGACCTTGGATTACCCCAGAATTCAGCGTGCAATTCCTTTTAAAAAACCTTCTTTTGAAAACAGGCAAATCTGAAGACAAACATTGCGAGAGGAAGTCCTCTTGTTTACTCCCATTGGTCGCGTAGATATAACGGAACACACACATGCACACAAACGATTAAACTTAAATAGAGTTCTTCATTCATTTCATTTGTTTATATTGTTCAATGTTATAGGTGCGCAATCAATGATTTCTCACAGATTATTCCCCACGGTATTTTCTTTTGATTTGTCTATTAAAATGAGATTGCTTTTTTTAGGGAAACTGTATGCCCAATTTGCATTTTTTTTGGCAAATTGGTGTTTCAATGGTATTTAAATCGGTATTCTTATCCCACAATGTTCCGCTTATGGTTACGAGTTTTTCCAACCTAAAATGATGCATTGAGCTCCCGCGAAAACATGATCAGGAAGACAAGCTAATTACTGTCTAGGACAGCCTAAGGTCTGCAGTTTACGAAGAATAAGTTAACGGGGAATAGAATCAGAAGCAGATGAGTAATTCAAAAAGACAACAAACGGAGTTCGCAGGGTCATTCAAGGAGGTGGAAATTTTGTGTACAAGTGAAGATACTGCATCTATCATGCATCTGTTCAGTTTATAAGCAAACTGAAGAGGACCACACGGGACACCAATGGAGGACTGAATGCACGTAAGAACAACAAGTTATGCTAGTTTTAGTCCAACAGAAGTTAAAGCGATAGGATTAAAGCCTTTCGTTAGAACGTTTAAAGTAGAGGATTTGGTAATGAGAAAAATTGTTACCAGTTTTCAACAGTCTAGTATGGAGCAGAATATTAAGGAATTGTTCAGAAATGATGTGAATATTTCACTGAGAATATAGGCGTCATAACTCAGAAAGAAGGGTGAAAGACCATCGGAACAAACACTGCTCGAGGTTTTCACGGTACACAAAAGCTCAGAAGTTTCTTCTTTCACTTGAGCGGCATCACCCAGAACAAATGATGTGATGACATCGCACAATGGGTTGGTATATGCAGCATAACCACTGTCCTAATCCGTATTACAATCAGGAGTTCTGGATTTGTTCGGACACAGCAACCTGACAACTTGCAAAATTCAATTACAAATGTTAAATCGCAGAAGCTGGAAGATGTACGACACAGCGAGGCTTTTAACGAACGATGATATCAGTGCATCAAAGAAAGATGAAATGTGAAACTGGGTATAAAAGGAGGCCATGCATAAATTGGTAATGATTGTACTTCTATAAAGCGAAAATCTAAAAGAAAATTAAATAGCTAAGTAGTCGATGGCCTCGGTGAAATAATCAAAAAGAACTTCAAACTTGCCACTCCATGAAGAGTTGATGTATGTGACCACTCAAACTCATGGTTTCTTCTTACATGCCTTATGTCCTTACGGAAGCCTTTGAATCCACTGTTTCCAACTAATGAGCCAACGACATTTTGGTCAATGCAAGATTACTGAAAACAAACAATACACGTTTTGTGGTGGGTGCGTTAATCGAGGGTGCACGTAAGATCCATCATCTTTGCAAACAGCGACCTGATGTTCGCGCTGGCCAATGAGGGTACAGTCATTTTTGATGGGACTGTGTGCTTGCCAACAATCGCACTTGCATTTCTTTATTTGATCAGGAATCCGAATATGAGCCAACGAGGAAGTAAAACACCCAGTAAAAAGCAAATAAAGCTAGAAATTCAATAACTGAGACCGCGAATTAATATTTCCAGTGGTTATGTGGTATTCACAGAAAACAAAATAAATCCGAGAGGGAGGAGACGTAGCACAGCCAATCGAAGGGCGCACAACTTGACGTGTCAACGACGAAGTAGCGGACCAACTGAAGTGAGATGAAGAAAACGGGAGGGAATTAACATGGTGATAGCAGCTGCATCACAAAGGTCTTTTAAACGCATAGTTCAGACTTTAAACAACTAATAGTAACCCGTTCGACCAACCTAAGCGTCCTGGGGTTTCGAATTTTGAGAACAGCACAGAAAACCTTGCATTTGGGTGGTGTTGGCCCAGTGGTAAGGTTACCAAACTATCAACACCGAGGGTGTGTCCGACTCCCACCACCACCGCCTAACATCCGGTTAGGAAGAAAACAAGTCACTGAACTGGAACGGGCTGACTGTAATTCTATCTGTTCCTTTTTGTTAAGTAGTCGGGCCCGGTAGGGTACAGGGGAATTTTGATAAATCTTAATGCGAGAGGATAGGTGTCAAAATGAGGAGCATGTGGACGGATGGTAACGACGAAACAATATATCAGGGTGTAGTGGATGAAGAGGGTCATCTAAAATCTTAGGAGCAAATTTAAAACAAGAGTTGATGTGACCATCAGTGAAATCTGTGATTATTGAATCGATCGGAATTAATGACACACGACAGATGTTCACTAAACCACGGCGAATTGTTTTGAAGTCGTGTTTTAAAAGACCGGGAAACACTACAGGAGAGCAATAAAGTAGAATGGGTAAAACACATTGCTGAACGAAAGATGATAGAACTGATTGTGGGGTTCGGAATTGCCTGAGTTTGCGTAACTGAAAAGATAGGCGTCTCAGTTTTCCCACACAGTTGTAAATATGTGTAGACCAACGAAGACTGCTGTCGATGGTGACACCCAGGTACTTCACTGAGGTCATTCTAGATACAGGATTATCGTTAAGAATAGCATAGTCCGTTGAAAATGCGGAGCGGGAAAGACTTAAAATATACTCCATGCACTTAGGTATGTTAAGACTGAGACCGGACTGGTCAGAAAACTATTGGATGTGGGATAGGCTTTCGGTGAAAGAATGAAATTCCGAAGGGGATGAAACTGTCTGACACAAAACAAAGTCATCATCATACATTTGTATGAGCGCAGGGGGTGGGACCGGAAGATCACTAATAAACGCAGGAAAAANATAGAACAGCACCTTGAAGAACACCAGAATTATTAACAAGAGGTTTTGATGTCCTCCTTCCTAATTTGGTGCACGGGACCCTCAGTGTAAAATATTCAGCAAGCCCTGAGAGCAATTGTTTTTATAATGCCGAAAGATTCAAGTTTGAAAAGAAGAGATGATCGGGAAAAAGAATCAAACGCAGACGAATAGTCGAGAGACCTGGCCGAATGGTTCGATGAC